ATGACCAATAGGCCTCTCTGTCACGCCTTGGGGAGAAAATGGGGTTTTTTGAGGAACAATTTCAGTCATGGGAATGCTGCTATAGTTCCCGCAAACTGGAATAAAATGGATATAAATATTTCCATCTGAAGTCAGCCAAAAGCTTAAAGTAAATTGAAATTCCAGTCAGTCAATTTGAAACTCTCTAAATTTAATTAATGGGAAGAGCATGAGGTAATATTAAATTAGATATGTCTGACTTGCAAATTAATGTTCACATAATAAAAGATTCTAGTTGATTATTGGTTAAGTGGGTAGCTGGCAGCCAATCTAATTTTCATTCTCCTCTGAGGGGTTCTTTTGGCCACTGCATGTGGTAGATCCTTACCGAAAATGATTTTGTGAAAATGAATTTTCAATTCCTGCGCTAACCTAGCACCCTGGGAAATATGGAGTTAAAGCAAACTCTAATCCACTGTATTGCATCTTCTCAGGTGAAACTAATTCCTATTTCTGAGAGCTGGCGAAGGTATTCTCTAACTAATGCTCTGTTTTGCCTCCGTGGTTCCCAGGTTGGCCCTCTTCACAGGGATGAATTTGATCCCTTATGTGTGATGTACAGTGTGTACTTCCCAAAGATATGCCCTACCAAATACAGGGACCATCTAGAAGAAAAATTTTATGCTCAGAATGTGTCTCCTCCCAAGACAATGCTAATATGTTCTGGTTTTTTTCAAATTATTTTCAGTGCTTTACGCTTCTGAGTCATTTTTAATAAACAAATCCTAGATTTGGCAAAAGACATAATTTTGTAAAAACATTCAAACTTAAGCTATTCAACATCAGTTGAATTCTGCTGCATCAGTTGGATTCTGTTATATCAGCTACTAATGATAGCGTTCTTTAATTAATTTTGAGGACCTTGACCTTTCCAAATTCTCTTCTGTAAAGCAATATGCCTAATTATGTACTGCACAGTTAAACAAACTAATTATATAGACTAATGAACAAAAAAAAAGTCTGCATGACCCTATTTTCAGGATTCATGTTCTCTGGTATAATCACTTCAAGGATTACATTTCTGCTTTGTTCTAATGTGGCTCATTCTTTCCTGGATGATAGGGCAGAAAATACGTGGCATGATTTTTAAATGTCATTTTGATGAAGTTCTGCTAATTTAACTTTTTAAAGAAAAGCAGCATGTAGAAATTTTGAAAAGAGAGATTGCTTACTGGTGCTCTGCAGCAGAGCCCCAGAAATTTCAGACTTTGAGATTTTACCTGCACAAGAAAAGCTAGTTAACCGTATTAGCAAAGTAGATTTATGAGACCATTTATATATCTAAATGCAAGAAAAATAAATTTTAATTAAAAGAAACACTCTAGGGTCCTGTTTAATTACCGTCTTCAGTAGCTGTTTTGCTGTGTACTTTCAGACCTCTTAATCTTTTGCATCAGACCTGAGTTGCTCATGTCACCGCATAAGTAGTGGAAGAGACGGCTGAGGCTATATTTCTGGGGAGGTCTGCGTGCCCTCCAGCATTGGTTAAGGGTGTAGTTTTGATTCAGTACAAAGCAAACTCTTGGAGGTCAGGTTTGCCACCCAGAAGGTTTGCAGGCCCAAAGGGAGGGATGTTCTGTGACCCAAAGCATCTTTTTGGGGTCAAGTTCCCCAGATTCAGCAGCCAGGAGTTTAGGGTTATCTTGAGCAAAGTTTCCATCTAGGCTATCACATTGAAGAGCCGCCATGAATTTACCTAAAACAGTGAGCTGAGGATAAAAGGGTCTCAAATCTTCCTTTGTGTATCTCAGCTGTTTTTCTCCATTGCAGGATTTGGCCTTGCTCTCAACCTCCAGCCAGCTGTGATAATCATAGGGAAATACTTTTTAAAAAGAAGACCCATCGCAAATGGCCTTGCTATGGCAGGGAGCCCTGTGATGCTTTGTACCCTGGCTCCTCTCAACCAGGTCCTTTTTGACAATTTTGGCTGGAGGGGCAGCTTTTTAATTCTAGGGGCAATTTTATTAAACTGCTGTGTGGCAGGAGCTCTCTTCAGGCCCGTGGGGGTGGCCAAACAGTCGGTCAAAAACCAGATGATTGAGGAAGGGAAGGAGGCTCCAAAAGAAGAGGTCACTAAGATGTCTGTGGAAATGAGCAATCCCACATACGTCCCTGCGGAGACCAAAGTGGAAGAGGAAGAAGAAAAGGACTGTTGTGAAAAAATCAATCAGTACCTTGATTTTTCCCTCTTTAAGCACAGAGGGTTCTTGATTTACTTAATTGGAAATGTGCTTATGTTCCTGGGTTTTTTTGCCCCTATTGTTTTTCTGGCACCATATGCAAAGCACATTGGCATTGATGAATATTCAGCCGCTTTCCTCCTTTCAATTCTTGCCATCGTAGATATGATCGCCAGGCCTACCACTGGCATCATTGCGAACAGCAAGTGGGTGAGGCCAAGGATTCAATATTTTTTCAGCTTTTCTATTGCTTTCAACGGTGCCTGCCATCTGTTGTGCCCCCTGGCTTCAGGCTACACAGGGCTTGTCGTTTACTCCATCTTTTTCGGCTTGGCCTTTGGCATGGTCTGTGCCATGCTTTTCGAGACGCTCATGGACCTTGTGGGAGCTGCTCGGTTCACAAGCGCCGTTGGCCTGGTCACCATTGCGGAGTGTTGCACGATCCTACTTGGGCCACCAATTGGAGGTGAGTGTGTTTCCTCCTTTAATTCCACTGGGACGTCCTTCCTCGCTCGAAGGGCCTATGTTTGTCCTCTTGCAAACGCAGTTCATAAGAAGTGATTCTAAATGTTTTTTCCCTGCTTCTCACCCTTTTTTTCCATTAGTAACTAGACAGAGAATGCAGGTCCTAAATTTCTGCTCCAGCATTTCTTCTCTACTCCTTTCAGTGTAGTACTCCAATTGAAGTCAACAATTTAGGGGGTGACCTGGATGCAGGAGGAGGAGTTTAGTCCCTGAGCCTTTCAGACACTTAAACTGAACTTGTACAGTGGGACTAGCACTCACAAAGGAACGTGCACTTCAGGCGATTTCTCCTGGAAAGCCTGTTGCAAAAGGCTGGAGGCCACCATAATTTAAGTTAAGTGAAGCACTACGAAATCCTCTTCTTGACTCAAGTCCAGGTTCTTAATTAATATTTACTATTTGTCTCTAAGGCTATGCTGGATCCAGCAATCTCATGTAAATATTTTAATTTTGGTCACAATAGTTTACAGTGAAGGTAATGCTTGAGTATTTCCATTTATGGATTTCTGTCATCTCAGCACATCTGATAGTTTTGAGGCTGCTCCAAAAATAAAAATGAGTTTATTTTTGGTGGTACGGTATTTGTTTTGAGCAGATTTGGGTTTTTTTATTTTTTTTTTAACCAATTGAAAAATGTAGTGTCCTAGAATATTTAATAGAGTAAAAAGCAATTATGAAACTGACTGAGATCTCTATTCTTCTTCTGAGATCTCTATTCTTCTTCTTGTGGAGTATTTCCTCACCTGTGAAAAATGCATCCTTTGTTTATCTCATGGTCTGCGCTTAGAAAGATAAGCGGTGCAGTGAGCTCCTGTGATTTTAGGAGCCTCGTCTTGTTTCCTTCTATAGCACATTCAATTCTTTGTCTTTGAAGAACACACCATATCTGGAAGACCTAATATTTGGGTCTAGTAGACTCTAGTAGGGTCAAATTCAATCTGACTTAGCTATGGATTAAATGGGTTTGGAGGTGACATCCTATTAGTGTATAGATATCATCCTCTGTATGCAAATTTAGATATCATCCTCTGTATGCAAATTTGCATTTCACCTATATGCAAGCTAGAATAACTGACTTGTTAACTGGTCACCTTTAGGTGTGCTGTACGGTTAAAATACTTAACTAGGTTGTGTGTTCTGTACGTATTTGGATATGTAAAGGTTAACTCTGCTAATTCTTTTGAATGTGACAGCGTTTCCAAATAAGTTTAAAAACTGCACAGACAGAAAGCAGAATAAATCCATTTCCTGGATTCAAGACTTGAGCTGGCTAAGCTTCTTATTCAATATGACACATCTGCAGAGCCATTTAATTCTTCGTATTACCATGTAGCTCACAGAGTGTGACAGAAGCAGCTGTATCCTCTTGTTTTCTTAGAGATTCATTATTTAATTAATGACAAACAAGAAAATACGATTTAAAAATGACCATTTTCTGAGTTTTTTCTGTGTGGAAGATTAAGTTAATGACCAAAGACTGCTAATGAGGCTAAAACAGTTCTATGTAATACTCAGCAATATTAGTTTTGTAGGGTTTTCCCCACCATTTTAATAAGCAGCAAATTTATTGGTCCTTTGGCATTTTAATAACCTACTGCAGGGTTCTGCTTTAATGAACTAAGTAAATTGTTCCCAGTGTGTTCTATGACTTTATCTTATTCTCAAAGGAGAAGAGGCGAGACTATCCTAGTGTTGAATTTTCCAATACTCTACTCATTAAAACTCCTGTTGAAACCTATTTAGGAGACCTCTAGGTCATCCTGATTAGCAGAAAAGGAAAAATTGTTGCAATTAGCATTTGGTTGATGTTTCATGAGTAACATGAAAAACACAGTGCATTGAAAATAGTGTACCAAGAGATGTAGGAATGATTCAAGAAGAACTGTTGACCCGAAACAGTTAAAACTATTATTTTTGCAATCAGTAAATCTATTTAGTGGCCATAAAATCCCTTGTTAATGTGAGTATGTGGTGGGATAATTAATCATCAGATTTTCAGCATTAAGAGTCAGTCAAGAAGTCCTCTTTTTAAGGAGGAGAACGTATTCCAGAAAGTCAGGGGAGCTAATGGCTGATAGGTCAGTTTCAAGCAGGAGTATCTTCTCCTATGAAGGCCAGGTTAGAAGTAGATCTTACTTTAATTAGTATCTAGGATGTTAAGAATGGTCCACGTTGCTCTGGTAAATGGGAATTAATACTCGGGATCATAATCCCAATAACGTTTGCATTACATTCTGACATAATGGAGAACACTGACATTTCAATTAAGTCATCTCCCTTCAATTATTCTGTAAGTCTGTAGCTGAGGCATTAACCTTTGAGAGGAACCTGTCACATTTGTCTTGGCACTGAAATTATCTGACGTTTACAGCATCATCTTTGCTTTCCCTGGAACTAATGTTTTCCAGTTCCACGCAGTGCCTTTTCACCTTCAGGTCACGAGTTTAAATACAGAAAGGGCAGCTGTGACCAAAAGCTGAGTACCCTCTGATGCTGGTGAATGACCCGTGGTAAAATAAATTTGTGGGTCTTAGTCAGTAGTCTGAGATCTGAGTCGCAGTGGCCAGATGTCCACCTCACAAAGGTCTTCCTGAAAGCTGCCCCTTTTGTTGGCAGCCTCAGGACTAACAAGTTGGACGAATGTCGTTCACCCTATAGGCGATTACTGAAATCAGTAGAGGGACTGTGTGCAGGCTAAGTGACCTGGGGTTTTCATTTCTGGGTGGAAAAACAGATGTACCTGAAAAATCCAGAGATTACGATGTAGGTTCTCTGTCCCCTTCTGCTTAACTGTACAATTTATTGATAGTACCTCTGACATTAATGTAGCTACCTGCAGACTGTAAAGTGGAGCATGTGTGAAGTATTTGCAGGATCAGAACTGAACATATCAGAAGTATAAAGATTGTCGCATGCCGCAGGAGTGTCCCTTTATATTTAGGAACTGCAAACACAAAATTCTTGTCTTTATCTCTAAATTTCTTTTTTAATGCATATTTTACAGGAACTCTTATTGATACCTTTGGAGACTATAGATATATGTTCATTAAATGTGGAGCTGTGATGGTCTTGGCAGGAACATTCCTCTTCATCATGAATTACTATAATTATCGTATGCTTGCCAAAGAGGAGAAGGAAAGAAAGGCAAAAGAAGAGAATCCTAAAATTGTAAGGACAGAAAATGAAGGTAGAAGTAACTGGAACAAAGAAACCCTACAGGATGGGCCTGAGCTGGAACCTTTGAGAGATGAACGAGAAGGACTAAAGACGGAAGTGAATGGCACAAATGAAGTTTAAACCTGTTCTAATGGACTGAACAGGAGATTACTTCTGAGTTGCTTAAGTTGACTCTAGCTGTGAAATCACACTAGGTTTTTAAATTCTGCCTTATGCTCTGCCATATACATCCTCCTCTTTGTCTTAGGAGAAGACTAGGACAGAAACAAGTCTAGTTGCTTATAAAGTGCTCAGGACGCAGAGTGTGGTATCCATTCATATACCAAAGGTCCTGCATGTCCTGCACTATTTTTCTTATGTATTTCCCATTTCCTAGAGGTTGAATGTGAGCGTAACCCATGCTCCGCTTTTATTCCCAGTACTACAGATCCATTTGGTGAATAGGCCGATGGCCATCAGAGTCAATGCAGAGCCCTTCCATTAGCTTGAATGGGCTGTGCATAAAGTACTATGATGGCTGGATCGTCTCATGATGCAGTCAAAACACTTATACTCGCTCGTGCCCTCAAGCCTGATCGAAGCCTCTCGTCTTCAGCGTGTTGGACTGCAGCATCGGAGCTATCCCAGGATTTGATGCTGCCTTCCACTGGTGGCTGCACTGTGACATACATTTCTGTCTCATGGAAATGTAAAATAGATCTTATGCTTGATTTAAATACAAAATAAGCTAGAGCCGCTTGAACCAAAGGAGGGCAGTGTATGCCTGTGCATGAAGTGGCAGCAAGGCAGCCAGTCCTTGTGAAGAGGTGTGTGCTAGGAAGGTGCTGACTTGTGGTCGCTCACCCTGGCTTGACCGGGGACCTCTGCATTTAGCAAAATGCCTCGAGAAAGGTGGCATTCTGCAGGGGGCCTGCATACCACAGGAGTCATTCCCGTCCCTTTGTCTGAGAAGGGCAGATCATGAGAGGGCAGTGCTATGCGTCACTGCTTAAACTTTGAGCAGCATTCAAACCATGCAAAATTCTTTAAAACTTACCCCGAGAGGTTAGATAGTCCTTATTATCCAATATCTGAGTGCCTTACAGTTTTTACCATGCTTTTTCTTTCTTTTAACAGCACAGTAAGGGCTATTATTATTAATTAATGGTACAAATGAAGAACTGAAGCACAGAGCAGCTACAGGCATCAGCGTGTCTGTGAATAATCCTTAGGTATTCTACAGTGTAATGGGATCCATTGCCCTGAGCTGGGCCCCTCGGCCCCTGACACGAAGGAAGTCATCAGCCGCGGGGAAAGGGTGCTGAGAGCCTGCCTGCTGAGCAAAGGAATCCCCCGCTCACTTGTGTCGTCTTGTGCAAATTCTTTTCATTGAAATCCTTCATTCCACTGAACAGCAATGGCGTTCGGTCTTTGACTTCACTAGGACTTGAATTTTATCCTTCTGTTGTATCTTGCATTTTCTCTGAAAAACAAAATCTATTCAATATATTTAGGGCTTTGTTGCTGTGTTTTTAATATTCTCTAGTGCTGTCAAATATATCTATGGCTATTCAATAACAAAGGCATTGATGGAAGGTCCTGAACATTTTCTAATATGCCTTCTGGAAGCTTTAATGTAGTTAATAAATCTCTTTTAAAAAAAATGAAATGAATTGACCTTTGCCCAGTGTGATCTATAGGTTAACGCTGCCCTTCTACTTGGTAAGAAATTTAGCCTCATAGGGTTTCCAGCCCTAACTTCATGTACGCGGTAATATGATTCTTGGTCATTGCCTCTTATTCCACGGCCACCTCTAGGAACTCCTTACCACACAGTTTCTCTGACAGCTTCAGTGATTTCTTGTTGCTTCTGCTCAGAGGGAGCCTTGCTTCACAGCTTGTGCAAATGGATGGACAGAGTTCACCAAGATTAAAATTGGCTTTACCTCATGCGTTGTATCTGCCTGAAGTTACAGTCAAAATCACTACTTCTTCAAGGGAAATGTTTTATTGCTTGATACAGTGATGTGTTCAACCTTGGCTGTGATATCCATATTTAAGAGAAAGGGGAGTGATTCAGACTACCTACCACAGAGCTTCAAGACCATGGCTGAACAGGGACTGGTAGTCTGCCGTCTGCATCGCTCTTGACCCAAGCCACTAAACTTGTAAGCCTCTCTCCTCTTTGGGGCCTCTAGATTCTGGCACGTGCACTGGCTGCACGTATTTCATTTTTCACACAAACAAGTGAATTAGGGCAGCGTCCTGCTTTCAGTCTGGGATCCTCTTCCTGAAGCATTAAAAGACCTTGGGCTCTAATACCCTTCTGATGCACAGCAATTTTAAGCAACATTAATGGCAATTACAGAAGCAGGCTGCCAAGGAAAGAGCCCCTTCTGTCTTCAGACCCATAATGGTACTCGTTGTGGAAGATTGCCCTTGAAAAATAGAAAGCACAGGGAACTCCTGTCACCACTATGAAGCCTGAAAGCTTTGTATTCAGTCTAAAGATGTAATCTAGGAACTGTCTGTCCTGTCTAGGAATCTGGGGGAGAGAGGCATTTCCAGATGGCTGTCTGTCCCACTTACACACAACAGGAGGGGACAGGCTCTGGAGGTGGTACTCACTTTCTGCTGGCTGTAGGAAGAGCCTATACAAATAATCCTAGACAACATGCTTTTGGATGACCAGGGCTGGCTGAGATAATTCCCAGTCTTAGTGGCTAAGCAAAATTAGCAGGCTGTTGCCAGAAAATCACTAAATGCTGGGCCAGAAATTGAGCCCATTGAATAAGATATACTGTGCTGTGATCTCAAAGTGAACCAAGGTTTTAGTAGAAGAGCTAAACATTTCTTATTGCTTTTATTAATTGTAGACGTGGTCATGTAAGGGAGCTGTCATTTGCCATTGCTACGAGGAAAGGAATGCCTGAATATGCCCCATCACAATGTAGCACACATATACTCGATTTGGAACCCAAAGAAAGAATCTAAATTGTGTTGAAGATTAAGAAATTCAGTTGTCAGTAGCAATCAGGGATATCAGTAGCTAAAGGGTTGCCACAGTAGTGGCAACTGTGCTTCTTTGGTGACTGACTGACTGCTTTTAGACCCTATCTGTTTAATTAAGGCCATCCCAAACCAGAGATCAGGTTGTATCTGATATCCTGTTGTATCTGCTTCTATTTCAATTATTAGCCAATGCACAACCCCTCAAGATACTGCTCCTTCAAACAACACAAAGCAAGTCATCTGCAGCAAAAGGCAATCACAATTCTGCAGCTGACAAGCTGCTGAAGAGAGTCTCCATTCTATGCTAATCTAGTCCTGACGCACAGTTCAAAGACAAATTAAATCAATGCAAAGCTCTCCAAATACTTCCGTCAATAGGACTTGGACCAGCCTGAATCGCACTTCAGTTCCATGGCCCCATAATAACTCTGAAAGTAGCTGAGAAGGACCTGGCAAGGATCTGACAGGTTTGTTTTCCATTTCTTCCCATCAGGTCTCATCAATTAATTGTAGGAACAATGACCCAGATCCTCAACTGTATCAGCAGGAGCTGATACTCAGGCTCTCCTTTCAGCAGAAATCCAAAACAAGCTTTTCAGCTCATAAAATTCTGTTAATGCAGGTAACATTTTTTAATGAAAAGACTTCTGTTTAGCTAGCTATGAAAATCACCTGGAAAAGATGCACCTTTATTAGTCTGTCCCTGATGGCAGAAGCTGCTGCATTGAATAATGTATTCTTTACACCTTCAGAAGTCTTTTAATGTTAAGCAACTACCTCTTTAACCTACTCAAGTCTGTTTTGACAGACTCATGTACTGTCTTTAAGATTATGGCACCATTTCTATTGCATAGGAAGTCAGGCCATTTTAACACACTATTGGGGATTATGGCTGTTTTTCAGTGGCGGGTGGCCTGCCTCCTTTCCTTTTGTCCCCACAACAGGTTCGAAGTTCAGGTCACAGCAGCTCCCCAAGCAACACAGCAAAGCGAAGCAATACACCTGTGTACTTATAAGCTTGTGATTAGCTTCAGAAATGCTGTGTTGAGTCAAATCCAATGAATTCAACACCTTGCAGGCTCAAGCTGTAATCCAGGCTTGGAAAACTCTCAAACTTTCCTAAGAACATTTTCAGTAATTAAAAATGACTGGTGAAATGTAAAATAGCTGTTAGATAAAGCTCTTGTGAAGCAGTAGAAGCCACCTGTGCATCTAATTTAGTGATCTGCATGGCAAATTGGACGCACCATTCATTTTTACATGCATGCTTAAGTCTAGAAAGCACGAGTGCAGGCAAGTCAAGAGGTATAAGTGTTGTACTATAAACATATGTGTTAGGCACGTGTGGCATGATTTGGATATCGGATATGCAAGGCTGGTTTCTCAGGCTTTCATTGGAGTGCAATTATTAGACATGTCTTCTACATTTCATTAACTTGTGACCTTGGTAGAAGCAATTGCACATGGTTTCCAGGGTTGCTTGAACTTCTGCAACAGCCTGATTTTGATGCTAAGCCATCACTCCCAACAACTGCAAAAGAAGTCAACAGACCAGGCAGCAACCCAGTACTCACTGCAGCCTTGTCCTGCTGGTAAGGAATGAATAGTATTTGGTAGGGAGGTGTGATAGGTACCACAGTTTGGACTTAGATTCCCCCCACATACTCATTTATAATTGCCCTCACTTTCTCCCTCTCTATATTTGGCTTTCCAAATCTAAAGCCGTGGAGGAAGAATGCCGGTATTTCAGCACTTACTGTGAAGGGCCAAAAGATGTGATCAGCTAGCCAAGAGAATGCCAGTACTTGGCACTTAAGGAACAGAATGTAAAACCAGGTTTTCTTGTTAAGCAAGAACTGGAGGCTGCAGTTTCCAATCTCGTAACTGTCACTGGTGTGTATTTATGCCACTCTGTGCAGTCCTGCACGGTTGGCACAGAGAGGAGCTCATGGATGTGAACAGGAAGGAGGTTTTTTGGCAGCATGTGTGGCAATAAAGCAAAATATAATCAGCATCGTTTTGATGAAAGGAATGAACCGCACTGAAAAAGTGCAACAGACGTGGTGACCAGAGAGGTCTGGAAATACAACTGAGTGGAGGTAACCTGATGGTAGCCATGTGAAAACGAGAAGCAAAAAACAACGGCAGAACAGGTGCAAACCAAGCTCCATCCTTGAATTTCTAGATGAGGACTCATATATATATTTTTGAAATATGCAATCATTTTAGAAAGCACTAGAGATTATTCAGGAGGACAGCTCCCCTGGCAGCTGACACCAAATTTATTTGGTCGTGTTGAGAAAATGCCTAGTAGACAATGCAAGTGCATTAAGATTACATTGAGGAATGAAGTTAAAAGCTGACTTTCATGCCCTCAGCAGTGACAGTGACATTGGCTATAGAATAGCACTAGTTAGGCTTATCAGAACCGTGTGCGAGTGTTTTGATGAGTGACATTCATAACTGTCAGCAAAGCTCCCCGTGATGGCAATACAGCTCCAAAACAAAGACTCCATTCGCTATCTGTCTGCCTTGGCACTTGCTGAAGTATTGCTGTGTTTCCATTTGTATTTGGAGAGAGAATCGTTTACTCTATGACACCAAAAAAAAAAGGAGCATATATAGGTAAGGGGGATCTTCTAGGTCATCAAAGTCAAGACCCTACTATCACAGGTAATGGCATCATATAATCCCTTTTAAAAACGTCTATAAGCCATTGCCCTGTGGAGTCAAGCACCTACCAAGTTTTGATTCTGGTATGACATTTATGTCTGCAACACTGATGTGTCTGTAGAGGGCAAATCTCCAGATGTTCAAAAGTGCAGATGTCTAGAGGCTTAAATAATCCCAATTCTACATGGCTTCAGCTATCCAAATATCATTAAGGATTTAGGCATAAACAGGCACCTTAGCCTGTCAATCAAACAAACCATTAGGCTATTTATGCAAGGGAAAATGATATGGCCCCTCCCTCCAAAAAGGAGTAAATGTGGACAGTGTTGAAACATCATCCTTCTATTTTACCTGTTTACATGTTTTATGTGACACTCTACATCTTTTCAACTTCAGTATTACTAATGGATTTGGACTCAAAATGCTTCCTCTAAGAGCTTTCCTTTCCTTTCTCTTTTAAAATGGTCTTATCATATACACTGACTTTTTACACTGAACTTTGCTGTCACAGTGTACTGTTTCTATATTTCTTTAAAACACATTTTGCATGTTTCAGCATTTTTGAAGCACTACAAAGTCAATTAAAAGTTATAGATTGTATTTTAGTCAGAAATTCAAGGTGCAGTTTTGCTGGAAAGCCTGACAGATTTGTTACAGTGCAAGCCATACAGGAAGGTTTCCAGGGGAGCAACACTGAACCCCTTGCAGCAAGGATTAGGCAATCTGTGGAGAGTTTAGCACAGACACTGAGGTTTGTACCCTATAAATATAACAGTCCCTCCCAGTATGAAAAAGACACATTTAGATTTTGACATGTCTAAAAACACAGGTAACTCAGTGACAGACATTTGGTCTGGATAATTACTCTGGATGCCTCAACTTTGCTATCTTTTGTAAACTGACCGCGGAAAGGACCCTTTCTTCACAAACTATGATGTGCAGCACTGTGAAAATTAGTTCACTAAAAAGGCTTGCTTAAAATTACACCAGAA